TTCTCCGTGGGACAATGGTACAACATAGCAAGCCAGGGTAGAATCTATTTGTAGTAGTTTTATAGTCACTTAGTATCGTTTCACTATCATGCTAATTACTTCATTATAAAAACATTTTATTTTCCCCCTCAACTTTAATACATCTCTCTTTCAAAAGTGTTTCCTTAGATACCATTTAATGTGATTGCCCATCTAATTATCTCTCTAGTGGAGGGAGAGGATGGACTGGTAGAGAGGCTGGGTGGAAGGTGAGCAAATGCTGGGTCTTTTTTTAAAAAAAAATTTGGCCAGAAATGGAGGCTGGTTTGTTTTCATCAGCTGTATTGCTGTGGGAGCCAGTGGGCATGAGGGTGGGAGGTTGGGGACAGTCGCTAACAGTGTGGTGCAGCTGGTACTCTTCCCTGGAGGACACCCACATTTCATCTCCAAGGGGTTTTAAAGCCACTTGCCCTAATCAAAGCAAAAGCACACACCTGGGATGTAACATGATTTTCATTCCTTAAAATGGAAACCAATTTTGAGGATTTCAGTCACTAGCTGTTCACTCTCTGGAAGTCTCAAATGTCCCATCACTTATAATAAGATGTATGTATGAAAAACCCATACGTACCTCATTGGTGTACTCTTCAACTCTTCTCTGCCCTCTTACAACTAACTCTAAGCCTTTGCTGTGATTTTTTTTTTAAGTTGAAGGAATCTCTCTATTTTCCTTCAAGAACCTGCTTTGGCCATGCGCTGGTGGCTCACACCTATAATCCTAGCTACTGAGAAGGCTGAGAGCTGAGGATCATGGTTCAAAGCCAGCCCAGGCAGGAAAGTCCATGAGACTCTTATCTCCAATTAACCACCAGAAAACTGGAAGTGGCGGTATGGCTTAAGTGGTAGAGCGCTGGCCTTGAGCTGAAGAGCTGAGGGACAGGGTCCAGGCCCAGAGTTCTACAACGGACAAAAGAAAAACCACAAAAAAAGCCCTCCCAAAAAACCCTGTTTTGTTAACTTTTGTTAATTTCTATAGGATTATAGTGATCAGACCCTGTCCATTTCAGTCCCTTCTTCCCCCTCTCCCTATCCCCATCCCCCCAGCCTCATGGACAAAACCTCTACTGCCTCCTTGCCTTTTAGAAGTAAGCCTTCCCTTGTTAGCTTTCCTCAGTTGGAGGCTTATTTAAAATGTCTTCCACACATCCAGAGATAAACAACCTTTAAATATATCATAGTATGAAGATTTTAATAAGAGTAAATTACTCATGGAAACATCTAAACTAGTAAATTAAAAAGAAAAAAATAAAAAACTCTTCTGCCAGGTATCAGTGGCTCCTGCCTGTAATCCTAGCTACTACTCAGGTGGCTGAGATCTGAGGACTGTGGTTCGAAGCCAGCCCAGGCAGGAAAGTTTGTGAGACTCTTATTTGCAATAAACTACTCAGAAAAAGCAGGAAGTGACACTGTGGCTCAAGTGGTAGATCTCAAAACTTGAGCCAAACAAGCTGATAACAGCACCCATGCTTAACGTTCAGACCCCAGGACTGACAAAAAAAAAACCAGATAACCAAAACCTCCAAATCAGAAAACAAAAAAGCCTTCTTTATAAGTTTTTAGAGCCATAAATAAAGTACAAATTCTAATTAATATCACTATATGTTTGAGGGGTCTTGTTAATTTCAAATTTTAGAAAACTGAACCGGAAATGTGAGAATTATTTCTTGATATTCATGGTGATTAGCAATTTTAGTAATGACTAAAATAATTAGTACGAACTGCTATTTATTCATAAGGAATCACAATAATTTAAAATCTCTAATTAGGGGCTGGGAAGGTGGCTCAGTGGTAGAGTGCTTGCCTTGCATGCCTGAGGCCCTGGCTTCGATTCCCCAGCACCACATAAGCAATAAGAAAAAAGCCGGAAGTGGCGCTATGACTCAAGTGGTAGAGCACTAGCCTTGAGCTGAAGAGCTGAGGGGCAGCGCCCAGGCCCAGAGTTCAGGCCCCATGACCGGACCGCCCCCCTAAAAAATCTCTAATTAGTGGTGTGCTTTCTGTAACACACAAATATACACATAGACACACAGACAGATAGGCAGGCAGACACACACACACACACACACACACACACACACACACACACACACACACACACACACACACTCATGCCCATGTAACAAGTAATTCAACAAATTATCTCCTTTTTCTAGTTACAACTTCCAATCCATTTGTCTGTTTCTAGTACCCATGACTAGTTTAAGTTGTAATTAAGTATGATTTCGATGTTAATACCTGATTGAGTCAATATGGGAAACCCTGTAATACCTTGGCTGTCATGTAAAGATCTCTTGTTAAGGGAGACTAAAAGTATAGACAGTGTTTTGCAAATGATTTTGAGAAAGACAATTTGGGGGCAGCTTACTCTGACATTAAACAATGAAATCTATTAACTCTTCATCTGACCATCTAAAGCATGTAATAAAACAAATATAGTATTAACAATATCCTTCAATGACACTCAATGACAATTAAGGCAGGGTCATTGTGATGGCTAGAAAAAATTATGTTTCACCATCTACTGTGTTTTTACTCAGTGGTCTTAGTATAAGGTGGGAGTTACTGTGCTCTATTTCAATTCCCCAGATCACTCCATACTCCCAGCCCTGAAAGGAAATTATGGCACTGGGGAACTTTTCTATTTATCTCACTACATGAAGGAGCTGTTTTTCTCAGAAATAATTGATGTTTTCTAAAATCTGCTAATCACTGCAAAAATCAAAGACAGGATCTATTTTTATTGTCAAAATTGAGAGTGCTTGCAAGTGGCCAGTAATGCTTCATTCTCATAAGTGCTGTACAATATTGCACAATGTTTTATTACTTAATAGTGGTCAATGTTATATAAATAACCCCAAACAGGAGAAGATAATTAGTGCTCTCCTCAGCAGCACATATATAAAATTGGAACAATACAGAGTAGATTAACATGGTGCCTGAGCAAGAATGCCATGCAAATTTGTGAATTGTTCCAAATAAAAAAAATTCAAATCTCATTAAAAAATTGTAATTTCTAATTTTGATATTCCCTAGTCACTTGTGAGAATTCTTCTTAAAAGCAAATATAAAATGATGTTAATATGCTGGAATTGTAGTAGTGGTCGCCAGGAAAATGTCTAAGACATCTATAGAATGTTTTCTTTTCCTCTATAGAACAAATTCTGACAACGTCTGAGTAAGATAAGTGATTCATTTATGCTTCCTAATTACTTGTTTTTGAGCAAATGAATACCTACTTTTGAATAAATCCCAATGGAAAAAAAAATATGGTTGATTCTTAAGTTTGCATTCAAATTGAGAAAGCAATATTAAAACAAATATCTAACACTATTTCCCCTATTTAGAGACATAATGTCTAATATATGTTTTAAATTTTGGTAGTAGATCTATTGTTACGCATGACTTGAAAGTCAGACTTGCAATTCATTAGCAGAACACCATGGATGTGAGGAGACTGGGAAAGGAAGAGGGTCACTTGAAGTGTGTGAGCTGGCAGGAAGGCGCCAAATTGGATCCCCAAAACTGAGAGAGGCTAATATTCAGAGTAAATGATTCATAAGGGGATAATTAAATGTGAGTAATCACAACTTCTGAGAGGAGGTACTGTGGCTGAATCTGAAGGAGGAATCATTGCTTTGTTCTTTAGCTTTCCAGTGATGAGTGACTTTTGGAAATGGACAAAATAACAGTATCGATTTGGTATGAATTATCATTTTATTTGTCCTTACCACCAATGACTAACCTAAAGCTGAGAGGTGAAATTATTGCCAAAGGTTAAGTGACAGGTGTGAAGGTCTGGCACCAAAGCCCACCCCACATCCTTAGTTGCTACAACATGGTGCCTCTCTTACTAGAACGAAGATTCTTAATCTGCTTGCTATCTAAAGCCTGGCATAACCCTGGAGGCAACAATATCTCATATAAGTTCATATCAAATAAAGTTATCCCCCAATTATACCTGAGACTCACAGGGATGAACCAAGAAAGGTAGGAAACAGTGGATAAGATTGATAAAGCCAATGTGGTAGTTAAGAAAAAAGGAAAGAAAACATGGATTTAGGTTAAAAGCTGGAGAAGGAGATAGTACAAGTAGCACTGATCAAGCAAAACAAACTAGAAACAGAGTTGGGAGAAGGCATTGTTGAACTTACTGTACAATGGGAAAACATTTTTACCAAGAAGAGAATTGGAGCCCATGATCACTGCAAGTACTGCAATACAGAAGGCCAGTCCTGTCTAGACCTCAGTCTAGGAAACTAAAAGAAACATCACAGGCTCATGCCTATAATCTTAGATACTCAAGAGTCTGGGAGCAGAGGATTGTGGTTCAAAACAAGACTAAGCAATACAAATCTTTGAGGCTCTTATCTCTAATCAGCCACTAAGAAAGCCACAAGTGGAGCCATTGCTCAAGGGTAAATATCCACTGACTGCCTGACTCTCTAGTATAACATCTGTAAAACGTATTACTTATATTCTCTTTAATATTTAAATACTGAAAGAGCATGTCATACCTCACAGAAATATTTTCCTATTATGTGAGGAGATAAATCCATGCTCCTACTAACAGTGTGACCACAGATCCTGTTAGGGGGAGCTTAGAATGATTCTTTTATTTTTTTTTGGTAGAATGAAGACAGAGTTCTAAGGTGTCTCTCAGAGATGAGAGCACTCCAAGGACTTTGGAGACTTTTTGACCCAACTTGTAAGTGCAAAGAGAAGGATGTCTATGCCACTAGTCCTCAACAAAGGCTGGAGAGTAGGAAGTAAGGAGGGCCAGAACTAAGTGAAGCACTGTGACACTTGTTTCTTTCAGATCTTGGTATGAAGCTGAACGCACACATACTGTTACCCCTCATCAACTCTTGGGCCAGATGTGGGACTCTTGAAAGTACACATTTACATGTACAACATCCCCACCCATCCCCACCTCCTAGGCCAAAGGAAACATAAGTTCTCACTGTCATTTCTGAGGAAATTATTAAGTAGCTGGAAAAGAGGAAAACTATCCCAGGAGTCTTGTGGTTGAGCCTCCAGCGCGGTATCCATATCTACTGTGAATAAAGCCCAAAACGTCTCTGCATGTTCAGCCAGTAAGTCAGGCCACCAGGCAAATGCCTGTAGAAATATAAAGAAACAAGGTAGAAACACATTACTAGTTGGGGACATACACAAAGACCATGCCACCTGAAAAAGTGACAATATGCCTTTTGTCACAAATAATGATAAGCCACATGTATATTTTTCAATTGGGTGGGAAGTTTTAATAAACATATTTGCATTAGTAACTTTGGCATTGATGGATAAGATATAAAATCTACAATAAACATCTGTTGTTTTAAAGAAAAGAACAACATGGCTAATTCTTAACATTTGGCAAATTTATAATGCAAAACAAAAAGAAAGAAAATTCCATATATTATCATTTAAGCTTAACTATTATAAATATACTGGCATATTTATTTCCAATATTTCTTATTTCTGCAAATAAGAATGTTAGCACAGTTGGCATCATAGTCTAAAATAATCACATTTGATTTTATTTTTAAGGACAGCTTAGTAGACCTCTATATACTCACAAATTGACATGTTAAATTAAAACTTTTTACAACTACATAAAGATAGTAAGAATATTTTATCTAAACATTCCTCTACAAAAATGGCTTTCACCAATTTTTGCAATTCCAATTTGACAGTGTGGTAAAGATCTTTACATAAAATCTTTTAATATAGTGCTTATTTCTTTAGGATAAACTTCTAAGTATTATTGGATAAAAGGTATGCTGGAGCCTCTACACATAAATTGCTCTGCAGAAAAGTAATCTTTGTTCCTTTTCATTTTCTTTTTATGAGTCATTTAAAAACATAAACACTATTTCTCAGCTTAAACTCTCTTTTCAGTTTTCTAATACACCAGAGTAAAATCCAAAACACAAAAACAACATCCAAAAATGAAAAAAAGAGACAAAACCCTGTAAACATTTTACAAAGCCTTGAGTGAAATCTCTGTTCCAGGTCTATAATACACTTAAAGGATTTCCTGGCCTTCTGGTGATAAGTTGGGTCCCCTTGATGCTTTCTATGACATCAATATTCTTTTATTTCTCAGGCAATAGTGTTGCTTATATATAAATATTTTGTTGTCTGCCTTTAGACTGCAACAGTACAAGGACAGTCTAGGTATGTCTAGGTATGTCCTATTTACTACTTTCTACTCGATTAAGCAGTTTATTTGGCCTCTTGGGATACAGAAGCAATCACTTTTTAAAACGCAAGCTGTTTTATGTTATTGTTTATTTGTTTATATTCCTGGTACCCATTCAGGGTGCTGTACTCATTCAGCTTGCTTGCTTATAGCTGGTGTTCTATCACTTGAACCAGGCCTCCAGCAAAGATTTTTGCTTGTTAATTGGAGGCAGAGTCCTATGGGCTTGTCTGACCAGGTTAGCTTTAATCCCAAATCTTCTGGATCTCAGCTTCCTGAGTAGTTCATATTTCAGGTGTAAACCACATGTATCCAGCTCTCATGCTGTTTTGATAGGAAAAAATACTTAGTTTTTTTAGATAGTTCTTGACAATAATGGGGAATTCTCTGTTTTTAGTTTTTACTTAAGTGTCTTTAATACATTTATGGATTATTTTTGGTATGGTGCTGGAGGTTAAAGTCAGGCGTGTTACCACCCTCACACTGTGACCCTTCTACCACGGCTTCTCAAGTATCTAAAGACATATGCCATGACTTTCATCCCTTTAAAAACATTTCAAATATTTTTGGCCTTCCCTATCTTTCCTCCATTTTTTCTATTAAGATTTAGGTAGTGTCATAATATTTTTGCCAAACAGCCATAAAAAACACTTCTGTGACATATTTTCATTATTCTCTCAACTTAAAATTATAAATTAAAATGAATGATAAAACACTACAGCCAGAGAAGTCCATATTTGCATTCAAATTTGGCTTCATTTATTCAACTATACATTGGATTAAAAAGGAGGAGACAAATTACAAAATTTAAGGTGTATTATAAAAGTTTTACACAGAATTTTCTTTAAAACTGTGTAGTAAACACCGGATATATTACAATAATAATATGTTTATAAAGAATGTCATATAGTTAGCTGGGTAGCAGTGGCTCATGTCTGTAATCCTACATAGAAGGCTAAGAGTTAGAGGATCATAGTGTGAGGGAAGCTAGACAGAAAACATTGCTAGACTCACTTTCTAAAATAACTAGCAAAATAAAGAACTATTGAAAGTGTGGTTCACAGAATGTAAGCTGAGTGAGCATGAGACTGGTATTGCCGAGGGGAAGTCGGGGAGGTAGGAAAGAAGGAAAAAAGGAAGGATAAGAGCAAGAAAGAGAAAAAACCAGTCATTGTCACATAACTAATTAGTAAATATTAAATAGATTAGAAGTTGACTTAAGAAAGAAACATACAATATCCATCGTAGATTTAAAAGTCAGCAACATTTTCATATTTGCCTCAATAATGTGATGAAATGAACATAAACACTTTCTGAAAAAGGTATGTTCTATGAAAATAGAACATATTCTTACTTGCCAATATTATTGGTACCTGAATAACTTTTGTTTAAATATGTGTTGTATAATATATGACAATATAACCCTAAAGGGTAGTCTGGTATACATGATTTCATTACATATACCTTGTTTTTGCCTTTTGGAGTAGTTAGGGTGACCAGGAAATGGAGGAATCTGAGATTCCTCACAGAGAAATTCAGAACAATATAGAAACCTTAGTAAAAGCAAATAATAATAGTAATAATAATAATAATACAACAGCAACAACAAAACAACAATAAATCCACAACTAAACCAAAAGCACAGAAAAGAGAGAGATTCACAGTCTCACATTCAGCTCATAGCCAATACAGAAGTTTAAAATTAAGACAATAACAGTAGTATGAGGTCAGGACTGTTTCAGTACAAAAGTTCCTAAAGCTCATTTTAAAGTAGACTTGAAACACAGAGCCAGAATGGGGAATAATAATATAACAGAATAGTCCTATTTTTAAATTTTAGCTTCCTGATTTTACGGTCAGCTAGATACTTTCATTACGTTTGCAGAAGTATTTATTTATGTTTCCAGTTGTACTGGAAGCTAATTTGTGATTCGTGACACCGGAGAAAGCATTAAACACCCACTGTCAAGGCCGGAGTTGCCCTCATTTTGAGAACCCAAGATGGATTCTACTTCCCATCTCGTCCTTTCTCTGGCTTTGTAAGCCTGAGAGAAGTGGTGTCAAGTCCTCCCTAAGCTGCCCCTTCACGAAGTGAGAAGAGGTTAAATAGCAGCAGGGTCTCTGCCAGAGAGAAGAAACCTCTCTGAGATGTATCTCTTGGTAGGACACCAATGAGAAGGTCATGATTATCTGAGTTCACCCTATTTTTGTTCTAAGTCTAAGCCATCAATGAGTGTAAATGAGCTGGAAGATACAGAAGGAAATGACCCATTTTCTTAAGAGGGTAATACAAAACAAGTAAGTCTTACACAATAAAAACAAAGAGGGAGGGGGTAAAAATGTTCAACAAGAAATATATTCATTACCTTACTTATGTAACTATAATCCCTCTGTACATCACCCTTACAATAAAATTAAATGCTTGATAAGAAATGTACTCATTAATGCTCATGTAACTGTAACCCCTCTGTACAGTATTTTCACAATAAAAAAAACTTTCTAAAAAAAGAATAAAGACCTGTCAATCACCAGTACTATATAAATAAATACACATGAAGAAAGCAAATTAAAAATATAGCAAGCTGAGGGTACTTTGACAGACTGGTATGCTTAAGGAATATAGTTGAAAACAGTGGAGATAAGAATGAATCTTAAGGCAAGAAGCAAAGAACTGAGGCTTTGAACCTGCTGCTGCTTAATGTTTTGAGAAGTTAAAGGTCTGTTCCATTTAAGTTTCTAGTTCTGCGAATTGACCATCACCACACTCATCGACCCTTCCCCCCCCCCCCCCCCGCTCCTGTGAAAACCAAATCAATAGGAAAAGTTTTGTACAAATGTAAATGTAGACTGTTATCAGCAATTGCTAAAATGTGTTGAAATTCACACACACATCGTCTAACATGAGTGTATGTGTGTAAAAAAATAACAGCATGACTCTGTCTGTAGATACCAAGTACTACTTTATAAGTTTTGTAAGGCTTATCTTAGATAATCTCTGAAACAAACCTTTCTATTAGGTAGAACACCTAATTTTATTTTTTATGTTAGCAAATATAGAGAAAACAATTGGTCTAGGATCACAGAGTTAATTTGCAAAAGAGCATTTAGTTTGAATCAAAATCAGAGTCTAGAGACCAAACTTTTTACAAGCTTATCCAAATATAAATAATATCTAATTGAGTTAAATGTTAAAATTATTGTAGTATCATCATTAGTAGTAAAGAGTTAAAATATCATTGATAGGTAATTCTCTTATATAACCTGATTTTAAGGAATCTGTATACTTTAGATAAGCATGACACTGGAGAGGAATGAGGACACAAATCAGCAAAAGCAAATGTGAAAAAAAATCAAACCACTGATTTGAAATGTTTGAATCTACTCAGAAGTTAAATTTGATTCAAATAATGATGCATATGGGAATGAGTATGTACATCTAAATATGTGGGTCTCTGTAGAAGTCCTTTCTGTGTCCTGGATCTGTGACTGGAGATACCTGGAACAGAGTCAGCTGAAACTAAGATGAACCACCAGGTGCACTAACCTGAGAGCTGTCTTCACTGCAAACATCAAGTGACTGCCAGGCCCCCTTGCTGTACCAAGTGTTTCTGATGTGGTGGATACATTATCTTTAAAACATGTTAGGGACTTTCGGTCAAGATATTTTTGTGATAATGAGCAGCAAAATTCTGTCAGCAAAAGTCTGTACATTCTCTGATTACTCTAAGAGACCAGGGAGAAATCCCTGCAATGATAGCATGGGTCAAATCTATCAGCAGAATCACGCAGGACCAGGTGACCACTCTAGGTATTTTGGTTCAACAGGAAGATAACATGTGGTTTAGTAGTAAATGCCTGGGTCTGGACTCAAATGTAAGCTTTCATTCAGTCACTAAATAGAAATGCACATTGGACAAGTTGGTCAATCACTGTGGGTGTTTTTTCTTATTAGAAAATTGGTTGGTGTGTGTGTGTGTGTGTGTGTGTGTGTGTGTGTGTGTGTGTGTGTGTGTGTGTGTGTGTGTGTGCGCGTGTGCGCATGCGTACACCCTGAGCGTGTGTTATACTAATAGCTTTCTGTGTTGGAGTTACCTCTTTATTGAAAAATAAAGAGGTAACTCTATTTAACTAATAGTTAATAGTAATTCTACTTAACTCTATAACTGTATTTTTTTGTGGGTTTGAAAATAAATAACATCTATATTCTAATTTTGTTCGAGACATTTAACAAGCCCTGGGGACATGACAGTTTTGTCAAAGTTAGCAGCTTCAGGATGAAAAACTCAGATCACTACCCTAAAATTCTGGTCTGACATGGTCTGGTCACTAAAATGTGAAGGCAGCCTTAGAGGTTTTTCTAGGAAGGAGCTTAAGCTACTTTCAAAGGAGAAAACACAGGAATTTTGAAGAAAAGCCTGAGAGGAGAGGTCGAGAGGCCTTTGGAGAGAAGGCAAGATTGCCTTATAAGCAAGTTACTGTCAAACATCTGAAGGACACAAACCTGCTTAACTGGGAAATTGTTGAAGGACAGAAACAACCTCTTAGCCCTGCAAAGCAAACGGCCACTGTGGAGGAAAGCAGAATGAGGAGAAAAGGAGCTGACACGCCAGCCACTTGAAGTCAGACACATTAACCTCACCCAAGGGAGCTGGGCTAGGCACACTTTCATGGAGGAAAAAAACTCTGGCTTGAACAGCCAGCAAAATAAATCTCAGTGTAGAGTGCTGGCCATCAATGCACTCTGGAAATGACTTTGGAATCAGACCAATTCACTATCAGTGTTGTTCAGGGAAAAAGTTAAACTTAGCTTAAAGAAAATATACAGAAAAGAAAAAGATACAACACACACACACAACCAATCAAAATATTAACATCTCTTCAACTGTTTCACTTAGAGAGTTGGCAGTAATTATTCACAGCCATTTTAATAAGATAAACCAAAGATCGGTCCATCCAAAGAAAAACAGTTTTTAGTTTCAAGAAACCAGGTTGGTTTTAAAATGACTATAATCAAGGATTCCCCCTTGAATCCACATGAAAGAGTTATCTTTTGGTAGAAATTTCTGGAAAGAGTGTACTCACCTCTCTTCCCTGAGACATTCCAAGAATTTGGGAGCATAATGAGACAGAGAAAGGCCACAGTGTTATACAATATTTGAACAAGAATTCATCACCAGAAGTTTTGTTTTTTCAGAATACATTTCATTATTACCTCTTTCAATAAAACCTACTGTATTTTTGTGGGTTCAAAGATAAATAACATCTATATTTTCATTGTGTTTGGTACATTATTGTTTGATATGATCACATGAAGTGTATATTGCATGATGTTTAGTTTTTAATTCCTACAAAATATTTGAAAATTAAAGATGTACCTATTCAGCTGAAATAGATAGTACCATTTGATATCTAGACTTTTCTATTTAGAAAGGTTTAATAGTCTTATGGTAATGTCTTTTAGGAAGGGACAAAGGCCAAAAATGTATTTTTTAAAATCATATAATCATAGGCATTGTAACATAGCAGTGGGTACTAGCCTAGGAAAGATTCTCCTGGGAATTCATTTCAAATTATTGAAGCAGCTGTTTCTTCAGTTTAAAATAAAATATCCATAACAAGTTCACACATGACAGATGTAAGCTAAAAACTGGATTCCACAGTGTGAGCTAAAAGCAGATGCTTTGAATGATCATATTTATAATCAGATACAATAAATCAGTTACCTACAGTACAGTTTCATAAATACCCTTTATGAAGAATTTATGAAAATACAGATCCTATAGTTTCTTGTATTTTTCAGAACTAGGCATCATTAAGTACACATATTTTGTAACTCCATTGGTATCTGTTTCTTTTTAACCCCTTGTCCTTTGCATATGCTTCTTTAAGAATAAATACACTGTTGGGGCACTGAGTTTACCACATTTCCTTACATCCACAACTTTCCACTATCCAACTCAAATTCAAGGAATTTCTAATTTTATTTTATTATTTTTTACAAATAAGCTCATGACTGAGCAGGTTGTTGGTGGCTCACACTTGTAATCTTAGCAACTCAGGAGGCTGAGACCTAAGAATAACAGTGCAAAGACAGTCTGGGTAGACAAACCTGAGAGACCTTTATCTTCAGTTAACCACTGAAGAGCTGGTGTGGCTCAATGGTTAAAGCACCAACATTCAGTGAAAGAGCTAAGCCAGAGTGTGAGGCCTTGAGTTCAAGTTCCAATACTGGCAAAGAAAAAAAAAGCTAATGATTATTTTTTTATTAGAGGGAGAATTTAAGGGGTGTTGGTCTTGAAATAAGCATTTGCCCGGTGAAAAACTGTTCCAGATCGACAGCAAATGTTAGTATGTAATTATAATTTGAAAAATTACCTGAGTATATCCTTTCCTACCACAGAGGGCTCTAAATTTTGAGGCTGTGTGTGTGTGTGTGTGTGTGTGTGTGTGTGTGTGGTGTGTGTATATATGTGTGTGTGTGTGTGTGGTGTGTGTGTGTGTGTGTGTGTAATGTAGGATCAGTAAAATCTTACAGTTTTGTGGTAGTTAGAAGGCAAGTACAGAGTTTTCCGCTCTATAGCCATGAATGCTTTCTTTTTAATTTTATCTTAAAGGTTAACACAAACTTTCCTTTTTCATGTCAATGCATTTCCAGACTAAATATGCTTAGCAAGCAGACTGGCACCCGAAGGTGGGTGTGTTCTAGTCATGACGTTCTGGGACAGTCCTCAGAAGCTCTACTGTGGTCCACAAATCGTGATTATTGTTGGAAATATATATATGAAATTGCATACACATATACAATTGCTTATTCACATTTAGGAGTCACACTTCCAAGAAATGCACACAGGCTTCTCAGCTTTCCACAGGTGAATGGCCAGAAATGTATCAAGACTCTGGGCAGGCAGGCTACTGTTTCAGTGTTGCTCCCATGACAGCAAAGCTTGACAGAGAGCTTTGCACTACAGTTAAAACAAGTCATCACCTCCGCATGATGCTCCTCATTCTGCTGTAAGACTTCTATGCAGAGCTCGGCTAGATGAAGAACCTCTTCCAGCTTCCTGGCAGGAGTCGCCTGGTTCATGGTCTCTGCATAGACAAAGAAAAGAATAATGTCACCTTGAAAACACAAAGCCAAACATCTCCTAAGATGTAACCAGCGTGTTCAAATAGTACGGGAAATCAGGAATGCAAGAAACACAACTGAATACATTTTCTTTTAAAGCCAGTTCACCAGATTGCAGAAAATGCTGCACCCACAAAGCAATTCACAGGGATCTGCAAGTGCTTTGCCATTTAGTACATAAGAACTAACAGGTGCAACCGCACATTAGATGCTCAACTTCTGCAACAAACAAGTTATAATTCTCCTCAAGGTCAGCAACACAAAGAGAGCAGATACCACAGTCTTTCCTTCTCTCTGTATTGTATTGTCAATACAATACCTTTCTCACCAGATGAGTCATTCCTGGCATTAGCAAAATCCAGCCTTTGTTGTTGTTGTTATTTAAATTCCCAGCCTGAATGTCTATAGTTCATGTTGATCTTAAATTCAAGAAGTACAGAGTCACCTAAAACATCTCTGACAGCCTGCAATTAACTGATTCCCTCCTCTGCTTTCCTGCTACCATCACAGCCTACCTTTTAACTATGGGAGCGGGGATTAGGGCAGAAGTATTATATACGTATATATATATATATATACATATATATATGTATATATATATACACACACACACATACACAAATATATGCATATATATACACATATAGTAAAGATACTGGACAGAGGGGTTACAGTTACATGAGTAAGATAATGAGTACATTTCCTATTGAGCATTGTTACTCCCTCTTTTGTTTATTCCCTACCATCCCTTCCCTCCCCATCTCCCCAGCTCCTCTCCCCGCCCCCACCACTGAAGTTGTAAAGTTTTCAATATGGGTCTTGAACATCTCATTGTTACAATGGGTCAACCTGTATCCTTATTTCAGCATTTTGTTATTTCCCCTCCCCTCCCCAAATTAGAAAAATGTATATACAAGATGCAGGGACATTCTTTCAGTTTTGAGCCAAATTGGTGCAAAAAAGAATAGGATGTAATAAGATGAAGAGCAGCTATCCCTAATCCAGTAAAAGTAAAAAAGGATGTAGTTGGTTTCAAAGATTCAACCAGCAGGCAGACATGAAATGTTTTCTGTGAGATGAAAACTGTGTTCACATTTGATATGAAAAACAAGTCTTCCTATAAGCATTCAAGGTGAATCCCTCATCTCTATTTTGTGTTTCTGTATCATAATACCCAACACTGGGTAATTTGTAAAGAAAAGAGGTTTTAGCATGGGAACATCCAAACCTCAGGCAGTCTCCTTCAGTTTAGTTTTAGTATTCATGGGAACACAGTGAAGTAGAAAGGAAAATGGTTAGGTGGAAAAAGGGACCAGATAGGTAGGGTTACCTTGCTTTATGACAAACGCTCTTATGAGTGCTAACTTTAAGAACTAGACGCCATGTCTCCTCATGTGAACTTTCATGGGACACACTCAGCCTAATCTGAACCAAACCATTCACAGTGCTCTCTGTACCCTATTCAATAGGTTGTAAGACACAGACATAAACTGCTCAGACAAAAAGAGCTTTTTTCCCCTCTGTGGGTCTCAGGAGCCAACCCTTAGCTGGCTCTGGCAATGATGGGTGATCACAGCAGGCTTTAAGTATGACAATGCATAGACTGGATGACTACACTGACAGCTAAGGGTGCGTGTTGTTTAGCAGGGCCTTGAAATAACTTAAACTTTAAGAAAATGTTGTGGTAGGTGGTGATTGTGGGTAACAATGACTGGCAAGGTTCTGTGAGTTGGATCTTGCAAAATGCTTTCCAGGAGAATGGTGGATTATGGGAAGATGACTGTGCAATGGAAAAGAAGATGAAGATCAAGAAAGGAACAAAGTCATCCATAAGCTAAAGAAATGCTGAGTTACTGAATTAGAAAAGCAATGCCTTCTAACTTAGAGAATCTTTGCTGCTTACAATGGTTGTATTGTGACATGTGTGTACAGCATGGCTTTCCTATAGGAAGAGAAAGGCAGAAACATATATACAAATACCATTGTAGCCGGGCGCTGGTGGCTCACGCCTGTAATCCTAGCTACTCAGGAGGCTGAGATCTGAGAATCGCGGTTCAAAGCCAGCCCGGGCAGGAGAGACCGTGAGACTCCTATCTCCAATAAACCACCAGGAAACCGGAAGTGGCGCTGTAGCTCAAGTGGTAGAGCGCTCGCCTTGAGCTGAAGAGCTGAGGGACAGCGCCCAGGCCCAGAGTTCAAGCCCCACGACCGACAAAAAAAAACAAAAAAAAACCCCAAATACCATTGTAGACAAGAATCATGCTGGAGGATGTTATGTCTCACAATCACAGCTAAACTATATGTTAGGTAATCATAAGTCCTAAGTCTCATTTCCAGAATCTCAATGAGAGTAAATCAAGGGTTCAAGGTCTTACAGCTGATTGAGATGAAGTAAACAAAATCTTACTTAATGACTTCAGTTCTTAATTTTCCATTCTCTAATTAGGAAACACACACACATACACACACACACACACACAAGTATCCTTAGCTACAAGTACACCAAAGTAGGGGAAATGAAGAAATAATATCATGACTTATTTCTAAGTGTGTGTTAAAAACTAGCTGTTGTATTTGATTTTACCTTCAATAAAAAGTTTTAGAGTACCTTGTTTTCAAGGTGAAGTTTGAAGTCTAAAACATTTTATTATTCCTAGACTAAGTTCAATGAGAGGATTGAAACTTTGTATTTGAACATAATGGCCACTCTTAATACTTTTTAAAATATGGCATTTTTATCAAGCACAATATTATGCTGTTGTTGGCTTTTACCTATTTGACTACAGCAAGAAGTTTAATGCACTCCTTAGAATCCTACTATATAACAAGGTTATCAATAGCTGCATAAAAATAAGATAATGGTGAATGTTTGAGAATTCTTTTTAAGTTTTTTTTACTCTTTTTGAAACATTTCCACAGCATTACAGATGTTCTCTATATTCTTCAAGCTTCACACCAAATTGCTGGTTGTTGTAGTACATTGCCAATAGTGACATTTAAAACAAATATGCCATAAGCATCAAGGTTTCTTGATGAATTTCAAATGCTTTGCTCTTGGCTATGATCCTTTTTCATTCTGGAACACTTTTTCGTTTTCTATGATAAAACTCGTTGGCTCCCTAGAGTAATTCCTTTTCATTACATTTAAGAAGTGTTGCTGATGGGGAAAATGGAGGGAGATGAGAAGTTATAAGACAGACTGACAGTTTTGCCTTGGTAGGTTCTGCTTTTCGTTTGTGGCTCCAAAGAGTAGATGTACTGCCAAGATATTCTCCTTGGCTGCTTGCTTTGCTATCATTTCCTTTCAAGGTCCCTAATGATAGATGATCAGTGATGTTCATGCTGAAGGTCTCAAGAGGTCATGGGAAGAATAGTAAGAGCATTTCCTTTTTAATCATATAGTATACTTTTTGAAATATCTAAAATATACTTGGAACTCAAAAAATTAAGTCCCCCAACAACAAATCCTCAAAGAAACAACTGTCCAATAAATAAGGCTAAAGACTTAAAGAGAAACTTCTCTGAAGAGGAAAGAAGGATGGCCAATAGACACATGAAGAAATGCTCAACCTCCCTAGCCATAAAGAAATGCAAATCAAAACAACATTAAGATACCACCTTACCCCAGTTAGAATGGCTAAAATCAAGAACTCTAATAACAACAGATGCTGGAGGGGATGTGGACAGAAGGGAACCTTATTGCATTGTTGGTGAGAGTGTAAACTTGTTCAACTACTTTGGAAAGTAGTATGGAGGTTACTCAAAAGACTCCACATAGAGCTCCCCTATGACCTAGCAATCCCACTTTTGGGCATTTACCCAAATGTTTACAAACAAGACCACACTAAAGCTACCAGCACAACTATGTTTATTGCAGCATTATTTAACATAGCTAAGATATGGAACCAACCCAGATGCCCCTCAGTAGATGAATGGATCAAAAAATTGTGGTATATACAATGGAATTCTATGCCTCCATCAGAAAGAATGACATTTCCCCATTTGTTAGGAAATGGAAAGGCTTGGAAAAAATTATATTAAGTGAAGTAAGCCAGGCCCAAAGAAACATAGGTCCCATGGTTTTCCTTATTTGCAATATCTAGTATAGGTATGAGTCAAGCGGAAAAAGTCAGATAATGTGAGGTTAGGAAAACGAAACCTCAAATATGTATTTTAATGTTTTTGTTTCTTTCATGCATGTGTTTCTAACGCATTTATAAGATTATTTCTTTGTTGCTTTGTATGTCCCTCCCCCACAGTGTAACCCCCGCTTTCACTATATTTGATGTCAGTATAACATGTGGAGGAGATGGGGACAAACAAGTCGTTTAAGGATTCAGGTGGACCTGTTGCAACAATGAGAAGTACAAAATGTCATGTCAAAACCAGCTTTACAATGTCGGTGGGGGGGTGGGTGGGGGGGTATGATTGGGTGGGAGGGAGGGGGGAGGCTGGGAAGGGAGGTGAAGGGTAAACAAAGGAGGAGGCTGCAATGCTTGGTAAGAAATGTATGCATTATCCTGCCCATGTAATTGTAACCCCTCTGTACAGTATGTTCTCAAATAAAATAAAATTAAATTAAAAAAAAATTGTGGTATATATACACAATGGAATTCTATGCCTCCATCAGAAAGAATGACATTGCCCCATTTGTTAGGAAATGGAAAGGCTTGGAATATATTAAGTGAAGTAAGCCAGGCCCAAAGAAACATAGGTCCCATGGTTTCCCTTATTTGTAATACCTAGTATATGTCTGAGTCAAGCAGAAAAGGTCAGATAGGATGATGTTAGGGAAATGAACCCTAAGATATGTATTCAAATGGTTTTTTTCTTTCAATAGATTGTTTCTATAGCATTTATAAGATAATTTCTTTGTTGCTTTGTATGTCCCTCTCCCACAGTATAACCCCTGCTTTCACTGTATTTGATGTAGGTATAATTTGTGGAGGGGAAGGGGAAAAAC